ACCGTGAGTTCCGGCAGAGTCGAAAAGAACTCCGGGTATGAATAGTTGACTTCGTCGCAAGTTCTTCACCACGCGTAACCCTCAAGCCAATCTCTATGGTCGAGCGTGCTCATCAAACCATACGTAACTTGATCGCTGTCAAAACATCAAGTGCCAAGACGACCTCGTGATGGATCTGGGATGGAGTACTTCATCGGCGGTTCGCTTTGCAATGAATGCCACGATTCGTACAACACCTTGCGCGCAACGCACGCACAGCTCGTAGTTAAATCGTGACAGCGATTCACAACGTCGGGGTTTGAAGCAACTGAAGATAAATTAAGAACGGTCCAACGACTAATCCAACAAACAACCGATCAGCGAAAACGCAACGCGTGTCCCCATCAATACAATGTCAGCGATACGCTGTGATGATTCAACGTATCAGCACCACAAGTACGGTCACCAACAGTCAAGTCTTACAACATAGACCGAGTTCAATAACATCGGCACTGTACGGCTCAACGATTGCTACCGCCAACGGCGGCAGCAGTCTACCAGACTTGGAACATAAGTATATACACCACATACAGGCCTGATCCCCTTGTAGGATTTGCCATCGTGCGACGCACATGTCTACATCCAATATTATTAGATGCCCCGCACTTTAAATCATATGTTCTCCGTGTCGACTGCTGTCCGCGCCTTCTGTGACCTTGTCAGGGGCGAATGCAATACACGGCTCTTAGCCTTATTCCGACTCGATCCTAGATAGGTTTGAGTTCGACTCATGACTGAGTCTTCTTGAATAGTCATTTGAGACGGGGTTCTCAATGACCGCCTAGTCATTACTAGGTTGATGATGGAACATCGCTCTAGATATTTAGCCAGCTCTGGAGTACTTCCACGCTACTAGATCCAGCTAGACAAACCTTCCACGCCTTCTTTAATCGTGGAGAGACGTAGGATTACTACTACAACCTAACTCTATCACACTTTATAGTCTCCCGCGGGAAGCCAGATCTACGATCCTTTGATGATGATCTCTCTCGTTGATTAGTTTTCATAGCTTTCTAATCTCTCTCATAACTTTCATTCTCTCAAACTCAAAACACTCGAAAGATCTTTACTACACTAGCTTTTAGCGTAGTGCATCACCTTTGGCTCTTGACGACACAAACAATGGGAAGGGTGGGCGCCCAGCTTTTGGATTTTACTCAAATAGAATTGCTGCTGGTGCAACAAGATCTTCCCACAAAAGCAGCTACTGCTGCACTCTCATGGCGGGCTGTTTTGCTTCTGGAGAGCTCTTCCCATTACACTTCCAGATCCCAAGCGATGCCAAGGAAGAGAACCAAGGAATTCCGCTTGAGTTTATCGAAGACATGCTGGTAACAGAGGCGACATATCTATCCAAGCAACCAGCGGAATATTCTTGCACTTACGGAGTTAATGAGAAAGGAGGAATGAACAAAGAACAGTTTGGCGAGTTCATGCTCAAGAACTTTGTACCCTTGGTTGCAGAAGACTGTGCCGACACCAATGGCAAGCGGGTGGTCGTCCTTGTCGATGGAGGTCCTGGCAGAACAAATGATGCGTTGCTTGCCTGTCTTCGAGGGAAAGGCATCTATCTCTTTCCATCAGGACCTCCATCCACAACTCATATTCTACAAATCATGGACATGCTGTTCGGTTTATTCAAAACTAAGTATTTCAGCAACCTTGAACGACTATGGGAGTATCGATTGAATCACCACGAGATCACTTCAACCTTGACGAGGATGGATATTGGGCTCCTTGTTTTTGGAAGCGAACACAGCACCAAGCGAGAAGAGGATCCAAATCTGCCTTTGCTGGAGAATGCTGCAGCAGTGGCCTTTGCTGCAGAAAGAGTCCGGCACTGTTGGGCTGACAAGCTAGGCGTCTATCCAAAGGTAAGTCCAGCAAATTGTGTATGACTGTATCTATCGCACCCGTCACAATGGCAGACATGCCGCTCACATATCCTCCTGTGCTCTTTCCTCTCACAGTTCACAAGGGCCGCTTTGCGGGTGAGTGAAACACGCCCATCATATTGTTAATATTTCTATAACACTCATACCTCTCTTCTCTTGAACAATCTCTCAGAGCAAACACATCCGCCATGAGCAAGTTGTAGACGAAAATGGCATGGTCGATGAAGACGCAGATCCTGAAGCGGCGTATCTCAAGAGCTTGAATGATCTGAATTCAATGGCATGCTCTATCCTCGACACAGCAGGCTACAACTCCAAGTCTCTCCAGATAAAATTGACTTCTTTCAGCAGTAAGAAGAGGCAAGATGCCATTCTCAAGCCAAGGACAAGAGAGAGACAAGACGCTATTGCCAAGGTCAAGGTTGGAGGAGGCAAACACTTCCAACTGACGGGAGGGGCGGCATTGAATGAGGATGATTACTTCATTTCACTTCAACGATCAGCGTTGCAGTCCGAACTGGAGAGTCTGGAACAGCAGAAGAGGAAGAAGCAAGAATCAGAGAAGAGAGAGACAGATGCATTAGCATTGCTCCAAGCCAACGAGAACAGAGGCGATGACAAATGGAATAGTAAGGAGCTCAAAACTTTGCTGTCGTGGAAGATGGAAGGTCCTGTGCCAACAAAGCTATCAACCAAACCAAACAGACTTGCGAAGTGGATGGCACTCAAAGCTAAGGTTGTTCCACCAGCAGCCAGGTGGACGACTCAAGATCAGGCCGAACTCGAACGGCTAAAGCACAAGATCGATCACATCACTCTTGAAGACACAGAACTTGGCCGACAGCGCCAGAGGATGCAGCTCGAAGCATTGTCGACAGTGAGAGGAATGTCGGAATCCGAACGAGACGAGTTTCTACGGAGTTTGGCAAATGGCAGAAGCTCCGACAATGATGGCGATTCAGTGGTGTCGGATCGCGGTGGCAGTGGCAACAACAGAGTGTGACAACGGAGGGACAACAGTGACAAAAGTGACAAAACAGCGGCCTACTGAAATAGTGCTCTATCCTTAACAAGAGCATTGCTTTAATGGCATGACAGCCATCCTATTATCTTGGGTGGTAGACCTTGGCCATCACATGGCCGCGAACGTCGATCTTAACAGTACTAGCATGGTGAGTGCACTGGCACTGTGATGGTGCTTTTCTTTGGACCCTTTTTCTGCAATTTTTGGGTATCAACTTCTCACCTTTTTGCCTGCTTTTATCGCGTACGTCAGAAATTGTCGCCAAAATAGGGTTAAAACTCGTACCGAATGGGACTGATCTTGGAATGAATTTAAAAGGTAGTTGAGGTAATGCTAAGGCTAGAGTGATTTTTTGAATAATTCTACATGTATTCAAATGAGAAATAGTATTTACCGCATCTACCTCACTGCACGCCTGTCTCCTTGGGTTGACCTGGAGCGTTCCTCAATCGTGCATGACTTTAAATCCGACCCTAATTTAGGGTCGGTTTGGGGAATCCGTCCCTAAATATATAGGGACGGTTTCAAAACCCGACCCTAAAACGAAACCCGACCCTAAATTAGGGACGTTTTTTCAGAAACCGTCCCTATTTTTCAGAAACCGTCCCTATTTTTAGGGTCGGTTTCGAAACCCGACCCTAATATTGGTGCGTTTTCAATGTATTTACCAGGCAGTCCCGTTTCTATTTAGGGACGTTTTTCAACCCCGACCCTAAAACGAAACCCGACCCTAAATTAGGGACGGTTTTTCAGAAACCGTCCCTATTTTTCAGAAAACGTCCCTATTTTTAGGGTCGGTTTCGAAACCCGACCCTAAAGGGAACCCGACCCTAAATCCGACTCTATTTTAGGGTCGGTTTATGCACGATTGAGGAACGCTCCTGAAACAAGGCCACAAAGCAAGTCAAGGCGCCTGCATGGACAGTGACTAGTGTTCCACAACAAGACGACAAGCGAAAATTGGCACAAAGATGTGAGCGGTAACAATAACGAAAGGTTCTGGACATGACCTTTGGAAAGAAGTTCCATCAAGACGAACAAGCACAAAACAAGAAAACACAGGCCCAATCATGATTCCAAGCAAGCATCGAAAATAAAGCGGTACAAGTTTCGGATTCGCTAGCACCATATCGGTACCAGCAGCAAGCCATCAACTATGTCAGAACCAGGCTATGTGTACAATCAAATCACTACCATATGATTAACATCTTGCTTTTCCTTGTTTTTCTTTCTTGTGATTTTACACATGAGAATTCACTGAAAATTTGGACTCATCAGGATCAATGTTTGTTTTGTGTTTGAATTTTTTTATGTCCTCGTGATCTCCATTTGGATCATCCCCCCGTATGTTGATCTCTTGTGGCACGACCAGTCGCCATTAGTCACTAGCTAGCCAGCACAGTACAGTAGCTGTTATGTTTACTCGGTATCTGGGCATGCCATTGTCCTATTGCCATTTCCAAACTCGCCATGCCCTTCATCTCGGGCAAAATCACACGGTCTGAAATCCCTAATGGACAGCCTTTCCTGTGGCTATTTCAGGTTTCCAAATGTTCCATTTCCCACATTGTGCTGACACCCAGAGACCATTTTCGTGGCCCACTTCAGACTCAAGTGTCCACCGATGCGCAATGTGGCGTAGTTTACCATGGGCAGCCATTGTCCTGGCAATTTCATGCCTTCAGTATCCCAATCTAGCAGCACCAGCACAGATGTCTAGATTCATCGGGCAACCATTTTTGGGCCAATCTAACACTTCTACATGCCCCGTCTCGCAGCACGATACAAGTCTTTCATTCCATCGACAGCCATTGATCTCTCTCTTTTC